ATTTTGCCAAGGCTGAGATGAGCTTTATGGTCCTTAGAATGCACACACACACACACACACACACACTATATCCTTATGTACATACTCTCTGCCTCTGCAGTGAGCTTGCCATCCTCTTCCTCTTTCCATAGACAACAGGGAGCCGGTATAGACAGAGGGAAGGGTTTGTGATGTTCTTTGGTAACTAGCCTCATCTTTTGCCAGTCCCACTCTATCTTCCCATTGACCTCTGTATTTTAGGTGTACTGCTAGTTTCCTTCTCCTTCTCCTTCCTCTCTCCCCGCCCCCCTCAGTACTGGGGATTGAAAACAAAGATGCTTGACCACTGAGCCACATCACATCCTCAGCCCTTTTTATTTTTTTTTATTTTGAGACAGGGTTTCACTAAGTTGCTTCGGTCTTCCCTAAGTTGCTGAGGCTGACCTTGAACTTTTGATCCTTCTGCCTCAGCCTTCTGAGCTGCTGGGATTACAGGTGTGTGCCACCATGCCTGGCTGTTTCTTCGTTCTTTATCTCCATAATCCCTTGGGTGTAGCACATACACCCCCTACTAGAGTATAAAAGCTCTTTGAGGGATGAGACTTGTTATACATCATTCAGAGCCTAAAAGAAAGCAGATGTTCAGTTAATGTTTGCTAGATAAATGAAGGATGCGTGATGAGTCCACTGTTCAGGTGAAGGACTGGTGGTTAATGCACATAATTGAGTGACACAGGATGTCTATGATCTAGGATTATTTCCAAAAAATCATATGCTATGATTGGAGAGACCCTGCAGATACTCACACATTGGAATTAAACATTGATAGCATGAGATATTGCTTTCCAGGATTTTCTCTTTTTTCTGTTTTGCTAGAAAATGGCAGCACTCAATGACAGCAAGGGAAAAAAGAGCAAATGTGGCTGACGAAGAAAGAAATGGACAGAAAATTGGGGTCTGCTGACGACTCTATGTGTACTTCCCTTTTAGCACTTAGCTACTCTCAGGTTCTCTCTCCCTCTCCACAACATGTATGGGTGGATTACATGATGTTTGAAGTTCCGTTTTACTCTGTAATTCTGTCATAGTGCTTGTGTTACAGTGCCCTTTAAGCCGCTTCATCCTTAAAAGGCTCAGTGAGCAACCAGTGAAATGGTGTATTCTGAAACTTGACACAAAAATCCTTTGGCACAGACATCTTAAATGGCAGGCCACTGTTGGGCACATCTGGCTTGTCTCAGATTCAGGTGTTTCCTCAATTCTTGGCCTTTCATCAGTAGTGAGGATTCCTACTGCCACTTAGTTCCCACCTAAATACACCCAGTTGATTGTGGGGGACCTGACACTAGATGGAACCAGTTTTAAGTATGTGAGGTGGTACAGAAATCTCCCATAGCCAGCCTATCCCAAGGGTCTCTGCCAGTAATTTTATCACTGTACCTGTCTATAGGAAATTCCCTGACCCACTTCTGCTAATGAGGAAAGTACCTCAGGCCAGTCTAGCATAGGGACATGTTCAGTTCCACAGGAACAAACAAACAAACAAACAAACAAACACCTCTCTCTGCCACCAGTTACCTCTGTCTGGACTAAAGGTGGCATCTAAACATAGCCAAATGATAAGCTGGTGAAAATCCTGCAGCTTGACCTAATGCAGAAAACATAGCTATAGCTATAATCAGGCTTTTGAACTGGGAAATGCTGAGAATGAGGCAATTAACTCCATTAGTTTGTGGAGGAAACCGTAGCTGAAAAAACACAAGAGAGAAGCTCTGAGGTAAAGTAAGAGATGTGGGGAGTCATGGTAACTGAAGTTCTGAAAAAGTAGTGCTCTTTAGTAGAATCTGAGTTTGTAAAAGTTTGGAGATAGCGCTTACACAGAAGAGCCCCTGAGGTATGAGAAATCCAATCTGGAGTCAGAATAAGTAGGTCAGAAAGAAGACAACAGAGTGGACAAGCAAAGATAGATCACAGGGGTCACACATGGTCCTGGTACCATATCTGGAGAGTTGTGTCTGAACCAGTACAATCTTCTGATCCATAATCTTCTGATCCAGCATCATCATCCAGAGAGGTCTGGTCCTATCTCGGTTCCTGTTCTTCTTCCTCTGAGGTTCTTTCCATACAACAGCCATACCTTCCTTGTTTCTTATGGTAATTGAAAGAGGTTTAATGTGACACCATAGGGCAGGGCCCCTTATTTTCTGACTCACTGGCTCTGTCCATAGGCAAGGCATCCAGGTGTCCTAGTATCTGGGTCACTCTTTCTCCACATTCTTGTAACATTTTCATTTGCATAGCACAGCTCCTCGGAGAGTCAACAATCAAACCCCCACACTTTGATACTTAAGGAAATATCTACATTGGCGTTCCATAATTTAGGGTTTATGAACCCCAAGGAAACCCTGAGTCTTTCAGGGACGTCAGGAAACCCTTCAAAACGGTGTGGTAAAAGGGTGTGTGTGTGTGTTGGGGACAGGGATACTCTTGGGGAGAGGATCTTTAATCACCTTCTCTGAGTGATCTGTTACCAACCCCTTCTGAGGTTAAAGGTCATTCATTCATGAGGCCAGAGCTCACACTTTAGGATTAGAAGGACTGTGACTGAAACCCCAGTTGTGTCACTTACCATCTGAGTAGCCTTATATATCTACTTGACCTCTCTACACCTTATGTTATTTGTTTATGAAATGAGTCTAATGCTAACAGTATTTACACCTATTAGTGCTAGGAGGATTGAGAGACACCTCACATAATGTGCTTAGTGAAGCATATGGCATTATAGCAAGTTCTTAGTGATGGTAGATGTTACATTTTTACTATATTTAATAAATGTAGATGTAATCCATTTTCATATACATATTTTTAAATTCTTCATGTTTATGTTTTATTATTAAAAGAAGGTGATCTTTTTTGAAAGAGAATTATGAGTTAGGGAAAAGGACCAATAATCAAATAAATTTTTTCCAAAATAAAATTTTATTTTGTTGTAAGCATAGTAGCTATGAAATGGGTACTTATACTTTATAAAATTTATAAATGTACAAAATACTGATGAGCTAAAAGGCTCTATTTTGTACTGATGAGCATGATTTAATACACTATCATGATTATTAATAAAAATTAGATGAATTTAAAATTGAACTGCTTGTAGGTTGGTGAAATATTGAAATGACTGGAGTTTTCACTTAACTTGAAGAATCGTTACCACTTAACATGCATACATTTAATACTTATTGGTTCACCCTAGAGAAATGGCTGTGAAACCAAATGCTTTCACCAGAGTTTTCATGAAGGTTTCAATGTGGTTCCTCTTACTTGATTATATTTCTTTATTCCTGGTAAAAATCTATTATAAAGGCATATTTTTGGCATTACCAGCTAACTTGCATAAGAAAATGTGTGACCCATAGTAGTTCAAGTTTCTGACCAGGTGCTTCAGAATAAGAGCGACTACAGTTACATAAATCTTACTGGAATCAGTAGGATGGAAGTTATTGTGATATTCCCTCCTCCAAATAAGAGGAGGGAAGGACACCATTCTTTCAACTTAGTTCATCCAAATACCACATAAGGGGATTAGAGTTCCCTGGGACCCACCTGGACTCAAATGTAGTAGACCATGGAGCATGAGTCAGCTGTGGTCATCCAGCTGGTTCTCACGGGTCATTCCTGATGAGGCCGCCATGCAGAGAAAATAAATCCACAAAATTCCTGATGGGAGGCCTTTGACTTTTAATTTGACAGGTGGTTAGTCAGGTGTATGTGAATAATCATTACACCAGGAACAACACCAGCAAAACAAAACCCAACCCAACTCGTGAATGTAAAAAATGTCTTGTTTCCAAAATAAGGATGTTCAGCCTGCCTTTGGAAAAGGAAGAAGCACAGTGCTAAAGATCATTATGTGCCAATGCAGCATGGTGTTCTTATTCCAGAGAGTGGGAGAAATAAAAGTAGAGAATTTTCTGGCTTTCATCCAATCACTCAACTTCTGTTGACTGAGTCCATGATCTGTAGTTGCTCTAGGCCACAAAGGTATTTGGCTGGACTCCATATCTATGTGTAGGGATAAAGTCCTGCTATTTGCAGATTGTGCAGGTAGGAGGAGTCATGATGATGATGACAATAAGTGAGATGATGATGTTTTTAGTGACTGTTTTCTGACTTTTTGATGGATATCTGTACATATATATATATATATATATATATATATATATATATATATATATATATTATCTAAGAATCTCAAGTATACTTTACAAGTGGGGTTTCCAGGGGCTGTCTTATTTCTGGGAGAATATTCCTTGTATCAGTGTCCTCCACCTGCCCTTGGTCATGCCCAGACTTGGGTACAGTGGCCAGCATTTTGCATAGATGGAACGCTGTTGCACAGTGACTCTCTATCCAAACACGCTGAAAACTGATTCTGACCCTTGTCCTGATCTCTCTTACGACAATCCTCAGGTAGGACACTGTATTACCATGGTGGCTGGTCCAAGCAGGGAGCCGTTAGATACTCTGAATGTCTGGCTGCTTTTTATTAGTGAACACATAAATGACTTCTTTAGGCACAGAACATCCTACTCCTTCCCCCATACTTTCATCTTTTTTTTATTTTGCAGGGACAAAAAAGATTAGAAATTTGGAAAATTTCCCTCTACATTACTAGTAGTTATTTTTTATTCAATAAAAGACATGAACATTTATATAATTTCAAGTAGTTTCCAGTTCTGATTCTTAATTTTTATCCTTTTTCTGTAAGGATCTCCTGTTGGGCTGACTCACCCCTTATTTTACACACGCAAATGAAACCCTTAAAAAAGTCAAGTAGAAATTATGGAAGCTTAAGATTTGGTGCCAAGCCTAGGATTAAATGTCATGTAGAATGTGTACAGTTGTTTCTACAAACTTACTCCAGTGAGAGAGGTGGAGGGTTCTGTTTGTGTGACTTTGTACTGGGTCTGTTTAGCTAAAGTGGAAATCAATTTCTCAGAGTGTCTTTTTCTGTATGGCTTCAGGTAATGTCTGGGCATGAGAGACTTGAACAAGATCCGGAAGGTGAAGGTGAAGCAGCAGCCATATTTTTCCCTCTAAAGGTAGGCATGAAGCTCTAGGGCAATGGCGAGTCACATATGTTAATGTTAATCTGCTATCTCACCTGGTGGATTATAGTTTCTCCAGCAACCACAAGATCCTCCTTTGACTTCTCAGAGTCCTGAGACAGATATAGCTACAACACCATGGTAAAGTATGTTGACTTTACCATAAAGGTATCTGATCATTGAGGCTGAAGGTGATGACCACATCACCAATTTGTCTTTTCCTTGTTCTCTTCTACTTCATGTCCTGCTTTCCTTCCTTACTGCTGGCTCAGGCCCAGAGCAAGTTCATGCCTAGTACTAGTCATGGAAACCATAAGTTCTAGCCCCACAATGAATCCTTATTTTATATTACTCAAGGGGGTTTTGCTTCTCTAATTAATCCTTGCTCGATATACCTATACTTATCCTAAATGAATTCTAGCATCCCTTTCAAAACAGTGGCTTGGACTTCAGATGTTACTTATAATGTCTTGGGAACCACCAACCCTAGTTGGGGAAGGTGTGAAGTACCATTCCTGTAATTTATCTGGTACATAAATTGAACATGCAAACTTGAGCTTGTTTTATGTAACTCAAGTATATTATCCACAGAAGGGGAGTAGCTAAGGCTTACAGGGCAAAAACAGTCCTTAGTCATCAAAGAGTTTGATTAGAGAGGGCAAGCATGTGCACACAGGTGCAGATATAAATGGACTGATTAAACACCCGAGGACATAAAAGAGGTGAAAAAAAATGAGGGTAGGGTGGAGTAAATAAAGGTAAACACAAATTATGTGTATAATAAATGTTTGTTGAATGAAGAAAACATGAGAGGTATTTTGACATTTTAAATAAAAACAAATATAATAATATCAAACAAGAACATAAAATTATTTTTAATTTCCATTTTTTATAATAGCACAATGTAACTATTTTCATTTTCAGATAGTATTCCTTTCTTGTTTTTTTTTTTTTTTTTTGAGGGGAGGATGTATTGGGGATTGAACCCAGGGATGCGTTACCACTGAGTTACATCCCCATCCTTTTAATTTTTTTATTTTGAGACAAGGTCTCACTAAGTTGTAAGTCTGGCCTTGAGCTTGAGATCCTCCTGCCTCGGCCTCCCAAGTTGATGAGATTACAGGCATGTGACACTGTGCCCACTCAAATGGTATTCTTCATATTCATATCCACTTGTTATATAGTTGGAATCACAGTGCAGCACCATTTTGTATTTTCTTATTTTCCCTATATTTTTTCATTGACCTGGATCTCCAGAGGGGCTAATAACTACACTTAAGCAGATTTTAAAACTCTATTAAAAATGTGTTATGTTTTTAACTTTAGCTCCTGCTTGGAATGTTGAGTTCTGAGAGGCACCTGAGCTGTTTTGGGAACGGGTGTGACAAATGATATCTCTGGGAGAGTGTAACCAAGGTGAGTCGTCAGAAATGAGCACTGTTGCCAAGGGAACTGCTGGACAAACATTTAGGGTATAAACTTTGCTATTGCATTTAAAGATCTTGCCACACTTGTTGCCGACTGGACTTGAAATCTGAACAGCTCCAGTGAAGACAGAAATGTCCTAAAGGTGACAGACATGGTCTGGCAGAGGGCATTGTCAGGGACAACAGCACAGCTTCCAGATGCCAGAGGGAAGAGAAGGAAGCTATTCACACCCAATGACCAAGAAGAGCATGGAATTCTGGGGTCTGTGACTTTGAATGAGAATTAACTTACCACTAGGAAAGAGCATTCCTGTGGCGATGCCAAGCTGTCTCTCTACCTGGTACAAGTGTTTTGTAAAGGCTGGTTGGGTCCAGCTTACTACATACATGTTTTAAGCACAAGAACACAATTAAAATGAAATATTACATCAAATTCCAGGGCTCTCTGTTGATAAAAATGGAGCTGGTTTGGTTGGTTCTGGATGAGGTGACAGAATTTTATGTGGTTGGCCTTCACCTCACTCATACCCTCATTTCTACTTTACTTGTACCGCAGTCTCTGAGGCTCATGCAGTTATCAGAAAAATAGCTTGAAAAATGTTAGTTTAGAACCACTTGAGTTTACACATAGGTCTTAGGAGGAAATCTGAACATTTAATTTTGAATCAGATACTCTGCTTTTTTTTTTCTTCCTTAATCTCTTGGTAATAATAACAATATTATAATAGCAAAATCTTCCATCACTTCTCCAGTGTGCCAGCTCTGTTCCAAGCACTTTACATTTGTACTTTTGAACAACCATATGTGGGATAAGTACCATAATTCAGTGACACTAAAATATATTTTCTTTCACCCTTTAGTTTTTGTGAAAATGGAATGAGTTTTACTTTTGATGGTGTGTCATAGTTTAATTGGCAGCATTCTAAAATTTCTTCATGGAACGTAAAATAATGGTATGTTTGACAATAGAGAACAGCTTAGATTTCATGAAATACCATATAAATATCCCCATTTTACAAATGAAGACCTAAAGTTCAGAGAGGTTAAGTAACCTGTCTAATATCACAAACCTGGCACCCTCACTCAAGACTCCATGCTCTCAGTGACTTTGTGTGCTACTGGCATTTGGCCTGTCCTTTCTCCTGTCTCTCTTGGCACTGTCACTGAGGAGTATGCCCTTAGTCTTAGAGGCCACCTGCAGTTTTGATACTGAATTTCTTCCACTGAGTGGAGGACCTTTACCAGGCAGATACCCCTGGCAGGCTCAACATGTCCGGCATTTTTCATTCAGTCATTAACATAACTGGAATTTGCTTACTATGTTGATTTTCCAGTATAATTGGCTTTCCAAGTGAAACCAAATCCTAAAGCAGTACCTTGGAGAACAAGGACTTGGTAACATGGTAAGGGGAAAGACTGGGAAGATGAGTGGTTTGCTAGAACTGACTCAACTGGCTTGCAAAAGCTCTTGCCAGTGGGTTGTTAATCATTCCACTAAGGAAATTGACCATGGTGGAGCCATCTACATCACAGAAATCAGCAAAAGCTATGGATCAGGGCTTTTCTGTTTGTGTGTTTATTTTTTTCTTGTCAGAGAGTGGCTTTAGGAGCACATCACTAGATACATGCTAAATTATCAGATTCCAGCAGGAAACCCTCAGCAGGTAGAGTGAGCATGGGAAACTGAGCAGACACTGAAGTTTCAAGATAACCTCAATGTCAAATAATTCTATTATGTTAGATTGTGTGTGTATCGTAATTCAATTTATGATATCTTGATGTCTATATAGGTAGAAGAACTTTAATACATATGCTACCCATATGTATTGTAGAGAAATACAAATTAGCCAAGGAGAGAGCACTGTCTGCTCTTTATTTTGTCCTCCTTATTGACAGAAGAGATTAGTGAGCTGTTTGCCAAGGACAGAGTGGCCAATGGCGTTTCCAAAATCATCCAAGAAGTGTAGCTCGGGAACAATAACTGAGATCGGAGGGTGGTGATGGAAGTGTAGGAAGTGATCAATAAAAGTTCGTTGTTGAATCTAGCAATCACATAAGGGTTCTGGTACAGTCACATCTCTTCCACATGAATTATTTAGTTATTTTTCTCCTTGGCAATTCTCAGAAAAACCCACAAAACAAAACAGCTCTCCATGCGCTTATCATGCAGAGGAGGAAGGAAGTGAGCTGTGGCATAGAGTGTGCCTCACCCTCTTCTGCCTGGAGAGAGAAGACTCCAGGGAATGAAGTAGATTGCAGCAAAGTTAAAACGAAAGCCAAAGCTGGCCGACCTTGCTGGCATTTGGCAGAAAGGAAAAGACCACGGAAGCAGCTGGACTTTGAGAGAAAGTTCTTGGGGCCAGGAAAGGGAAGGGAATGAAGATCCCCAAACAGGAGCTCTCTGGCCATTTGGGGGCCACAGGAGGACAATGGTGAGGAGTGGAGTTGGAGGAACAAAAGAAGGGACAGTGACCCTGGGACTGACTGGGTTGGGGATGGCGTATCCTGCCTAGACCCTTTTTAACCTGGGGAGTTCATCCTATTCCTGAGATCAAGCTGCTTTGCCTGTTGCAGAGATCTGGCACGTTTCCCACTTTCAAATTGGGCCGTTTTAGGAAGGAGTAGCTTGGTGGTTCCCCTCTCTTTAGAGCTGCCAAGAATCCAGCTTAAAGAAAAGGTATCTTTTTGGATTTTAGGATAGAGATTTTAGCAGCCAGTTTCTTGGCTCACTCAGAGGGAGGCTATGGGCTTCATTAGGTATGATGTAAAGGCCAGATAGCATCTTCTGGAATGGCTTTCCTTGATATCTGCCCTCACAGAAAAGGGCTGCTCGCAATTTATTAGCAAATTTGGCTCTCATTAATAATTCTTTGAACTAGCAGAGCAATCCTAGCTGATTGAAAATAATTATCAACCTCTCCAGATGATTAAACAGCACATTTAGATTTTCATTTATATCATCATTTTGATTGAATGATGTGTGTGTGTGTGTGTGTGTGTGTGTGCAGGGATTATGTATTAAGAAGGTATCTCAAAAGTAATATAAATACTGAAGAAAAAGAGATACACCTTGTTCAGTATCACAGGAAAACCAAGAAATCTAAGACAGGTTAGCACAAGATCAAAATTGGGACCCAAAATAAATTAAGAAAGACAGACTGTGACAGAGATAAAGTTGCATGGGACATAAGTGATAAACATGCAGAAAAATACTTATGGCGTTGTAAGCATAGCATCAGAGGATTGAAAATTCTGGTCAGTATCAACAAACAAGCAGTGTAATTAATCTGGAACAGAAGAATACCACAGATGTTGAAAATTATTTTTTTTCTACTGACTCAGTCTCCTGCGTATTTACAAATTGAAGGTTGTAGATTAATAACCCCTGAGATTTACGCCCAGCCGGCCCGGTTCCAGGATTGCGTTTGCACTCAGTGACATCCTTTTGGATTCAAACTATTTCCTCTAATCAGATTATAAGAAAAAGTAAAGACTAAACCTGCTTTGTCTCACATTTATTCTCCCAAGTGTATTCGGGTAAGGATTCACTCAACAAGAATAACAAACAAAGATTCCCACCAAAAACTGCGGCATTTCAGAAAAGTGGTGCAAGCTGCTATTCTTTGCTAATATCACTTAGTTTGGTGCAGCCTCCTTCATAACACAATAATGGTGAGTTGCTTCCACCTGGTTCATTTGAATTCTGGTTTTGCTGCATGTCCCCATCTGGATTAGCTCAACAAACTAAATGCTAGAGAAAAGATTATGCAAACATGGAAGTTTATAAAACCCTGCGGACTTTTCATTTCACAACCTCAAGGAGTAGGCAAATGTTTTCATGGAGAGGTAAACTAAGTCACCAAGCTGTTCTGCTGGTGGCTAAAGGTCTCCTAGCTGGTCAGAGGCAAAACAAACAGTAGGATCTTGGCCAGAATTAAAAATTCTGTGGGTTTGTTAGAGCGATGCCCTCTTTCAGACTGGCTTTGTTCTTCCTTTCTCTCTTGTTTTTTAACTTGTAGTACTTGTTAAACATGAAATTTTTTTGAAAGGGTGGAACTTGGAACTCCAAGTGAACTTTGATCGCGAATAGTGATCCCTGAGTTTTCCAGGTGGTTAAAAGAGCGGCAGAATCGTGGCGTATCCTGCCTAGACCCTTTTTAACCTGGGGAGTTCATCCTATTCCTTGAGTTTGAAACACCAAATCTCATGGTGTTTCAAACCAGAAACAAATATATCTGCCATCCAACTCTGAAATCAGATATACTTTGCCATTTTATGAGTTCCTAGCTAGATAAGGTCTTATATTCCTTTGCGAATCAGTTTGATCTAGAGCAAAATCCTTAGTTCTCATTCTGTAAAAAAAGGCTAGCAAATTAAAATGTGGTGAGAATGTACTAAAAGGGAAAATACCCTCACATCTGAAAATTATATATTTAAAATTTAAATGAGATTATAACTTAGAAATGTGTTTTTCTCCACAATTACTTTTAAGGTGCAAAAGGTGTTGTGAGCTAAGTGTGGTGGGAGGCTGAGCCAGGAGAATTGCAAATTTGAGGCCAGTTTCAGCCTGCCTCAAAATAAAAATTAAAAAGGGCTAGGAATGTAGCTCAGTGGTAGAGAACCCTGGGTTAAATTCCATATTCCCCCATATCCCTTCCCCCCAAAAAGAATATTTTGAGACCCTGAGAAATCATCTGTTCACTTAGTAACCAGAATAATAGAATTAGAAACAGGATCCAGTGTGTAAAGCAATACTTAGTCTCTGTTCAATAAAAAATACATTTGGTTTTTTAATGTAAACTATCCCTTTCCTCATTACCTGTCTATCTGCTCTTAATAATTCCCATCCCCATTTATCCTTCCCAAGTCACTAGGTTAAGAGAATATTAGTGATTATCTCTAACAAATCCACTTAGGCTGTTTACGTAACAACAAGAAAATGTTTTGAAAGGGAATTGACTGTTGCACTGGGGGTGGGCATTCATTTCTTCGTGTAAGAACCAGTTCTTCTTTACAGAACATTTCATCAAAATGTTCATTTCAGACTGTAGGTTCAGCTTGGTTGAAGGCTGTTTTCCACATAAAAGCCCGCCATTGGATAAGAACTGGCCTCGCCCAGGGTGTGCTACAACTGTCTTATCTCTTGACACATTTTCTAACTTCTTTAAATGAAAGAAGGAAACCAAAACAAAAATTGGGGTTAACAATATGGTAAAGAAGATAGGACCTCAGCTTGAACAAGGGACACATTCTCGTGAAAATGACTGGTAATGTGTAGAGGCAGAAGGACCCTGTACTTATTCTGCAGGTGTGGGAATTGAGAACCACACAGAGCGCACACTGACTTGTTTTCTAAAAACACTTGATCTATGGTCAAAGAGTTGACTGAAACATTCGAAGACAGTTTTTTTTTTTAAAAAATATTCCAGAAAAAAACAATAATCCAATATTCTTTTATCCCAAAATTCAGTAGTTCATATTGCCTGGCAGCCTTCCTGTATTTCTCTCACATTTTTCCTGCTGGCTTGTTCAGGACAGGTGTACTTTTTGGCACACTGCCTTAGGCAAATGTTCCAAGAGAGGACCTGGTCAAAGGGGACTGTACTTCCAGCTGGGGATAAACCACTGTGGCTGC